GCTACCTTGTAGCTCTAGGGTCCTGAATTCAACTCTGACCCAGGGAGCTTTCTGTGTGGATGTTGGTATTCTAAATTGTCACTCCGTCCACCCCCCTGCAATAGAATTGAGTCCCATAGACTCTGTGAGCATGATCTCTTAGTCCAGTCTTGAAATGTGTCTGCTTTCGGCTACTAGTATCTTTGGCCCTTCCCAGGACAAGCACCTTTCTGAAAATGAAGGATTAAAGTAACAAAAATCCTTTTCATATTACACTGCGGTTTGTTTTGCTACCTGTACCACATGTAAACACTATTTATGCACAATACTGTACATTCACGCACTCTTGTTCAGCACCAAAAGAAAAGCCTTATTATTTAGATTTAGCCCAAAGCAGCCCAAACTGAAATCATGAATATGAGAAAGAATATATTATAAGAATATTCTTCAAGTGAGAATGGCCATAACAGCCATTAACGTAATATATTTACAGTATACAACATAAATGCATGCATATATATGTTTTATGATAAAATATTTCATTACTTCTCAAAATAGTACAAGAAACGGAGGAGAAAAGTCTTATTACCAAGGTGTATAAAATGCAGAGAGCATAATATGTGTGTGGTGGATCTGCTTGGTTGTTTTTAAAGGCTCTGTAAATATGAATCAGTCATTAATTTCATTTTAAAATCACACACAACTGTAATACATACACTCCTACACCACAGTTTATTAATACAAAATGTGTGCGCTGTGTGCTCTGCATTTGACTGAGTAGACAGCATGAAACAAAGACTTTATTGAAGCCTGTCTGTGCTGTGTTTGCAGCCTTTACCTTTCTCTTCTAAACAGGAGCGTATTCATAGCCCGTAGCAAAGTCTCACCTTGGGGATTGTTCAGGCCGTCAGCATATTGCTTCAGCAGGTTTCAGCCAAACATTTGCAGGTCCTGAATAGTTTGGGAGTGCCTAGTGCAGTTCTGCATGAACACAGAATACAGATTTTTTATAGAAGCTTGGATGGCTCCCAGCATAAAGGGCTGTCAGCCTGTGATGATACAATGCCTTTATATAGAGAGCTGTCCAGGGTGCTGAAAAACAGCAATGAGAACATATTAGATTTCACGTCAGCAGGAATCTGGCACTGCTATGGTCTGAACAGATAAATCAGTGATACAGGTTGAACACTACTTCTTACTGCTTCCTATGCCTTTAAGCTGTGGTAGTCACTGGCTGCCTCTGCCGATATTGGCAAATTCAGCTGTTAAGTCATTGTTCTACAGCATCCAGCTGTAAACACATTTATTTGTGTTTTTTCATGATTCGTCTTGCGGCGCATTCTGTCATTTACTTTTTGTCGTGATAAGGCATTTCAGGACATTTATGTAAGACAGTAGACTCATGTTTTACATGGTATTTAGGTTCCTGACATAGTTTGTACACCCAAAATCGCATATAATCAGAAAACCCCCCTTAGACCCCCTATTCCCCTCCCCTCGTAAGTTTATTAGTATGTAAGTATAGTTGAAACAGTAATACAGCAAGTACAGTACTGTACAGTATACAAAATAGATCAAATAAAATGTAATAATAATAAAATGCAGGGAATACTCACCATAATGTCCCAGTGATGATGAAAGGAATGTGCAGCTGATGACGACGATGATGCTGGAGATGAAGGGGCCACACACTCGAACCTTTACCTCTGTTCAGAGCTGCTCTCTGCTGAGATAGCTGGAGAGGGGTCTTCGGGGTTGGAGGCGGAGGCCAGCAGCTGGGTGAAGGCGTATGAGTGGAGGTGGCCAGCAGTTGGGTGAAGGCGTATGAGTGGCGGAGGCCAGCAGCTGGGTGAAGGCGTATGAGTGGAGGTGGCCAGCAGCTGGGTGAAGGCGTATGAGTGGAGGTGGCCAGCAGCTGGGTGAAGGCGTATGAGTGGCGGAGGCCAGCAGCTGGGTGAAGGCGTATGAGTGGCGGAGGCCAGCAGCTGGGTGAAGGCGTATGAGTGGCGGAGTACAGCAATTGGCTGAAGGCGTATGAGTGGCAGAGGCAGCTGGGTGGTGGCAGGGCTCGTAGTCAAGGTGTGTGGGCTTGTGGTGGGGTAGTGTTGGGAGTGGTGACTCGGTGTCTCCAGAAGTCGATGTGAAGAACTGTCCTTCTTTACGTTTTAACTCATTGTGCCTTTCTTGATATGAGTGTAAATATGCCATCTCTGAGTGCCCGGTTAATTTTCGATGAGTGGTCCATTGATGGATTGTACTCTGAAATTAGTTCAGTCATCCGAGCTTTCTTGTCGACTGGCAAAATGTTTTAGTTTTTTCCCTCCAATCCATGGGGATTAGCCGCGCAATATAAGAAGCCAGGCTTGATCATACTGTATGTCTGACAGCATTACCCCGAAACAGCAACGTGATGCAATCGTTACACATCCATGCCTTGAAATTGGGGCCAGGTGTTCATGTTTCAAGATGTATGTGCGTTTGAGCAAATAGCCCTGTTTCGTTTGCATTGAACACTTGTTCAGGTCTGTTTCCTTTTTGTTCAGTTTTTTCAATCATTCCAGAAATCCATGCCCTGCTTCTTCACTTGCTGATGCTGATTGACCTGTTATTTTCACATTTTTCAAATTATACAGTACCACAGACTGAAACTATTAAGCCAGCCAGCACTGGCTTTAAACAGCACTAGTACTGTACATAGTTCGCATTTTGAATAATGTTCACAGAGGCTAAGCTCTTTTTCACGAATCGTATGCCCATCCCCTGGGAACATGCTTCTGAATCACCTCCTCAATCTACAAGCATAGGGACCTTTTGGCTTTTCCTAGGACCTTATTATGCACATGGCTCATCAGGTTTCCAGTCTTTCCTGCAGCAGATGCACAGCTCTCACAAAACAGCCTTCTCTCTGTCTGTAATTGCACTAATCGAAAATTCATTCTCGCCATACTTACACTCCAAGCTGGTCACTGTCATCCCACCCCTTAACTTGTTAAAAATATGGATTTTTAACTCCAAATCAGGCACTTTTCTTGACTTCCTTTCCCCTTTGTATGCATTTTCAGTTTCCGAGGCACATTCGTGATGCCACACAGTAAAGAAAGCAACAGAGTGCTATAGGCTCTGTAACTTAGTTTCCAAAGCATAGCTCACATTCCTGCTTTGCATTTGTGAACTTTCCCATATTATTGGATTTTTCATTCATTTTTTTCATTGCCGACCACATATATACTGTCCAAATTTGCGTAAAAACATATAGCATAAAACAGGAGTCTACTGTATTATATCTTCATCCAGAACAAGTACTGATTTGTATACTGAGTATAGAACTGCAGCTACAAAATAACATTCTCTTTTTTTGCCACCTTGTTCTGTTGCTGGTACTTTACTGAGAAAAACGTTACCTGAGGTAGTGACAAACCTAGAAAAAGGGGTTCCTTGTGAATCTTCCCAAGGAACGTTGGTCTGTTTTATGAAATATGTTACATAACACTGCCGGGAATACTTCTCTCACCACTACTTCAGTGAGGCCCCAGTACATGAACATTTTACATATTAAATAGTTTCTAATGGCACTTCCAGTACACTGCACCCCAAAGGTGACATTATAATGTCAAATATCCAAGCAAAGTTGTTTGCCGTCCATGTCAATGGATATCCTTTTCCCTGCTTTCAATCAGGGCACTTCTCCCACCTACTGTTGAGACAAACAACTTTGATATCATCTAATTAATATTAGGGTTTAAATCTCTTATCTCCATCCTTTCTTGGCCAAATGAACTAATATGATGAGCGCCTGGCCCTCTTGTCAGTGTTGTACTGAGACGGTGGGATTTCATTTGCATCAGAGACGGTGTAATCACTTCATGCACCTGATGGTCTGTAGGGGTTACTACAGCTGTCAGTCTCACTGCTGCCTTTCCCCTCTCATCAGCAGTTTTTGTTTTGCTAATATATTGACATCTTAATCTTTGAAAAATACCAGGTTGCATCTTCACTAGTAATTACATTTAGAAGAATTAGGCCCTGACAGGTAATCACAGCATAAAAAATCTTCAGGAGTCAATTTACAGCATGCCAGCTGACAGGTATTGATAACAGATCATACAGCAGGTTTCTGCATAGAAAAGAGTATTCCTGCTTTTTAATGATCTCATCTATTCATGTAAGGCTCCTTACCTTAGCTTTATTCAGCATAATGTTGTTCCACTTAAGGGATGTTATTTTTTTTGCAATCACGGCAGTAACACTGAGGGAGTGAAGGAGAGAAAATAGGCTTACGTGTAATCAGCAATCAGGCTTATTTATAAGCCATCGTGCAATTGATCTGAGAGTATTGTGGTTCCATTGCCAAATACAGTTCAGGCCCTTGCATCAGTTAACAGTGGATATGCTAAATTCTGAGTGTCAAGGCTGCCAAGACAGTTAAATACAGTATGTTGAGGACATTTTTTCACTCAGATTATAATTTGAACCTCTTTTAACACCATCAGAGGCACAGATCTTCAGATCTGCAGCATTCATACCACTGTGTTGTCTATAATCCTTCTGTAACAGATATCTGGAATGCACTGCATTCTTTATTACATAAACAGCCACAAATAGTCTGAAGCAAAAGGCCCCTGATCAGGTTATCGCATTACTCGGGCTCTCCTTCTTTCAGGAAAGAGCTGAGCCAGCAGTAACTCAGAAAAGGGTTTTCAGTCAAGTGGGTGTTTCTGTTCCTGTTGGGTTTTTTTTTTAGTATAAATGCATTATTTCACAAAATCACAAAAGATACAAAACGAGCTGGAAATTAAGAAAGACAGCTAAGAAAGCATACTGCAAGTCTCACAACAAAAAGGCATTGTGTCTCATTTTCAATGCAGCATCTAGTCTAGTTGAGGCATTAATTATGTGGTGCATGCCATGAAGTTAATTTTTTTTTACAGAATGTTTGCAGTTCAAGTTTCTTGTAATATCTATTATAAGCAGAGTTTCTGCTTGTAATCCTTACAATCTGTATTATTTTTCTTTCTCTGCAGGTTGGCCTAATGTAGCCGTTCCAGTCCTGGGGTTTCTGTATTGCTTCACCCAGATAGGAATGGAGTGGGACAAGACACATCAGTAACATGAGCCGCAAATATGTCTGTCAATTTTATGTTTTAATACAAAATTGTTTTTTTTTTTATATCAACAAAGTCAGCAAACAGTACCGAATACTGAATATCAATAGTGATTATCCACTTTGCAAATGTTGTACATATTCATGTTTTATGCACTGCACAGTTAATTTGATATGACTGAAAGTGAAAAGAAATAAAAGAAAAGTTACAATAACCAATAAAAAGAGTAATTGAATTATTTGAAAACACAAACATCCATGGACATACATTTCAATCACAATCTTCTTCTTTGTAACCTTATGCCCCAGGTCAGATGTCCACAAAAGGCTTTAGTGAGAAAGAAGGTTAAGAGAAAGATCCCAGGTGTCAAGTGAGACAAGTACAGATGACAGAACATGAAAAAGACCCTGTGGGACAGGTGACCACTCTGACAGGTGAGCACTATCTGCCAACACCTGGCCTCCTAGAGCTACTCTCCATTTGGGGTACAGAGTGAGACAGTACCGATCTTTCTGATGGAATGATATATGACGGTAATAATAGATCTGATACCAAATGCTGCAAAAACAAGCAGGAGAAGGAGTGGGGAAAAATCAATGTTTTTAATTTCAGTTTGGTCCAGACATTATTTTTGTGGAGCCTGCTGTTATTGCATTCGGCATGTGGTGATTTGTTTTGTGTCATTTCGGAATTATTTACACCTGCGTACTGTAGGATGGCTACAGACTGACTTACCTAAACGCTTTGCAGCTTCTCACTCGGCTCACATATCTGTTTCATAATTCTAAAAGGCTAAGAGCACCTGTGTGGCACTAATCAGATTAGAGAGCAGGTCAAAGAAAAATCCCCTTTAATTACTATGGCTCCAAGCAAACTTACTTATTCAAGCTGCTAAACACTGAGAGAAAATATGTTTTTCTCTCTACTGCATGACCGTTTAAATCGCTTTAACTCAATTAGCCTTTTATTGACAATTTGTACCTTAATAATTTATGCAAAAATAACACTTGACAGATGTAATATTATGATTTCTAATGTTGTTCATCAATTATTATACAGCAGATGCTTTCTAGATTATAATAGATTATAATAAAGGTGTATAAAAAGTGTGGGTTTATGATTATGATGTAGGCAACATATGTAAAACCATTCCAGCCGTCAGTGTTGATTAATTTACCCCTTGATAAGGTCTTACTAGCTTTGTATTGTGTAGCACTGCCCAGAGCTGGACAGCCATTGGGTTCTATTTAAATTATCCACATGTGTTCAGAAGCATTTCCCAATAAACGTTCTTGTCCGCTTTGCTTTTTAGAGTATTTACCAGATTGTCGTACAGGTTCAATAATGTTAGTGTTTCTTTTCGCGGTATTTAAATAGTTTTAAACTTGACTTGTGGGTTACACAAATTTTTGAGACACTTGGCAACTGCAGAGGGAAGATTCTCAGGGGTACCCCAGCCCACTGCACTGATTAGTTTTCAGGTTCATTTAGATTACACTGAGGTTACAGCAGGAAAAGAGAAAATTCCTCAACATTACAATCAGGAAAGTTGGTGCTGGTGTCATCTTAACATTGTCTTGTTTATTCCCCCAGTGACTTGCAACTACCAACTGTGTAACTCTGCTGGTAATGAATGTATTATCTGCTGTCCCTTTGAAATTAATTACGGTGAATGTGAAGAGCATGTACTGTAGGGAGTAATGAAGTTCTATTCAACTGTGCAGTTTAGATTTAAAGACGGGTTCAAATTAAAATACACCATTGCTTCTGCAAAATGAGATTGGTGAGGATATGAAATATAGTTACTTTTAAATGTAATTTAAACAAACAAAAGACCACAGAAGTTGGATGGATTATCACATTCCTGGAAGTGCCTGTAGGGATATTTCTAATGAAAGTTATTCTTTGGTTTAGTATCATGATCTTCCGCATGCTTGCAAAATGTAATTTTCTACGTAATTTCTATCCATGATTTCTACGGTTAACGAACAGATGAGGGACGTGTGCTGGCACAGTGGCAAGACAGCCTATGGATTTAAATCAGGCTCCATAATAATAAATGCTTTGTAATAGACTAGCATCCCACTTTAGGCATCTGTGCCTGCTCACACTCCCAAGCAATTACAGGTGAACTGATCATAAAACAAGGGTTATATAAGCTTGAACCCTTTAAGTTACTATCTGAAGCCTCATACTCCAGACTTGCAGTACAAAGACTAAGATAGACTTAGATAGAGCTGAAGTGGGAATATTGCAGTATATACTGCAGTCTGTATACATATGTCTATGTGTGCTCATTTTAAATTGAAAATGATAGTGTTGCAATTAAAATGTAGGAATCAGAATAGTTCAGTTCACTGTGTTTCACTGCAATGTTTTTATTTGTCTTATTGTGCGTTTGAGGTAAGTAGTGACCATTGAGAAGGCATGCACTGATGGAGATCACTCTTTTATTTTGTAATTTGTTAATCATCTGCGTGTGTTTATCACATCATGCATGCTAATATTGCATGACCTCTGACTTTACAGTATTTGTGAATATAATATGAATGGAGATTCATCTTTTGCAGTTGAGACATGAAGTCGACAGATGAATCAGGCGTTGGGTATGTATAACTGGTGACATACAAGCTGCATTTTGTATGCTTAAATTGTGTTGGATTTAAATCTCTTCTGTTATAAGCAAATTTCTTCATTAGTATCACTTTGCATGTCGAGCAAATGAACTGCAGTCTTAGTATGCATTTAGCCTACTTAAAATTCACAGAAAACACCTGTAATTCAGAAAATGGATTTACAATAACAGTGATTAGCCTGTTACTGAAACTAGTTAATGCACCAAAATGACAGAGGATGTGGCAATTCTTGTTTTGCATTTCACATGATAGTGACAAGTTTTCCCCTTGTACGTGGTGTGTGTAGGTTTTAAAGGGCTTTAAAGTGTTGATCATTCCTGGAGCACGTGCCTTGTCCATACTACTGCATGTATTGCATGATTCCTTGAGTGTTTTCTTTCAAACAACTTGTTTGTGGGTTAACTCTTCCTATTCTATATCATTGCCACCTTTGTGTTGAAGATGTATAGTTCTCTAATGCAGTTCATTAAAAGAGTCGAGAGCTGCAGGATTACTCTTTAAAATTAAAAGCAACTTAGCTAAGGTTGAATTCTTTCTAAGACATTTGTGGCATATTATACTGTAGACTTCCAATTGAAATGTATACGACACATAAACACCGTACATCTTAAAACACACTTACCGTAGTAATTTCCTACGGCACACAAACAGTAGGGCATGGCGCTGCTTGCCATTGATCACAACTCCGTAATTAACAAACATTTTCTACATTATGAGTTCTCACTGCCACGCAGAGTAGCCCCAGGAGGACTCCAGCATAATGACCTGCATGTATTCATTTAAACACGATAGGAGATCCTGTTACTAGAAGGAACAGTAGCTTTACAGCCTCCCATCCCCTTCGTTTTCAGTAGCTTTCTGAATTTGCCACAACCGCAGGTGTTTTTCAGGGCCCACACCATGGTCCACTTCTGCCTTCTGCCTGGCTGCCAACCAGCACAAACCAACCAGGCCCTGAGCGTCAAGAGGTGAGCTGTCGAGAGAACGATCTACAGCAGGAGTGGATTATCCTCAGGCTTTATGTGAGTGTGTTAAGTGGGTGTCTGGGTGGGGGTGGGGGGGATCTTGAGTCTTTTTGCAGTGTGGTCAGAACCTCCAAAATCACAGTTCACAAGGAATAACACCACCCAAGAATGAGGTGTTTTTTTACAGATGTTTGAGTGTTTCAGTCTTAGTAAATTTGGCCTCACCCCCCCCATTCAGGATGAGAAGGGGGCAACTGCAGAGGTGGAAATTAGGAAGTGGAGGGAAACAAAATTGTAACAGAATGCAGAGAGACAGGGCTTGCGAATATGATTTATAGGTTTTTAAACGGAGGAAGTGACGTCAGGAATGATTACAATTGCATGCCTCCCATATGTTTGTTGTATTTATTGTGCAGAATAGTGTAGGTGGTCTGATATATGTAGTGTATGTTAAAGACAGAGTCTGAGACCAAGGATTTTGCATAAATCACTAAATATTAACCTTTGGATCTCAAGTATTTGCACATATATTTAGGGATTTTGTTAAATCTCTGGCTTTACACGTTTAACATTGCAAAATATGGAAAGTCTATATCATACAGCGTGTGGCTGGCTATGTGGAATATTTAGGTTGTTATACCTTGAATTGAGTTTTCCATGTACTGTATATACAGTAGTTTTCTATATCGCAAATGAAACATCTCTAAAAATCAAAATTTGGGAGTTTCAGATCTTCAGTGTTTTCTAATAAAAGCAATGTGGGTGTGACACGTGTAGGATACATCTCTTATATGCACATAATAAATGGCAGGTAAAGGATTCAGATTGACTCATTCTACATTAAATGTAAGGAATGTTGCTGCTAAATGAACAGTTACATTAGAGTTACCTTCTGACAAAACTGTTTAAAATGCATTTTGGTCAAATGGTCTGTGACAAAATAACAAATACCTCTCCAATACAGGACAAAAATGAATCATGTATAAAATATTTTATTATTATAAATAAAATTGTACGTAACTTTACAAATACTCTTATTTGTGCTTAAAAGTTTTGTTACAGGAAATATATGAATACAATAACATGTGCATAAATCACATTGTGGTCTTATTTTTGTATCTTTTTAATGTTCTTTTTTTTAAACAACATTCCAAAACTACGTACAGTGCTACCTGGCAGCTTGAATGGCTGACCACAAAAATAGTTTCTAATTGTTTTTCTTCATTCTCCATGCGCACACATATGTATTGAAGAAATGCAACAGAAAACTCAAGTATTTTTGATGTCTGACAGAGGAAAGGGATGGTAATAGATTTTACACAAAGCTAAATGCCGAAGCAGACAAGCAGCAGTACAGTTCTCTCGCAGGATGAATAGATGCAGTTTGATCAAGTTTCTTGTTGGTGTCTTTCATTCTGCACGATGTATGGCAGGAATTAACAATACAAAAATACTATAAGGAATAAGATGTGACTCTCCCTCAGGGAAAGTAAATGGTATTGGGTACATAGAATACCAACTATACCACAATAAGTGTCATGAAGAAAAATGATCTTTCCTTCATTAAAGAATACCACTAAATGTGTGGGAATTCATTATACAATGAGTATAAAGATATGACTGCAACAGAACAGTCCAATCCCAAAACATTTCTTTTCATTTGTTGGAAGAGCACATAAGCTACAGTCAATTCATACATTTTAGTTGGGCAAAGGCTCTATTAAACAAAACTAAAAAAAGTACTTATTCAATTTTCTGCATAGGTGGAAAGGTAGGTTTTGGGTAATTCTAACCCCGATGAACTCCCCAAAAGTCATCATTAATTTTATTTCCATATAAAATATGCACCTGGCTTTTACTTTCTTTTGAGCTTCTACTAAAGAACTGAACCCTTCTTTTCCCCAAAATTGTTTCAGTTTCCACACAACAGATAATGCTAAGCAATATTTATAACCACCAAGAGTATTGTGTCAGAGTCCAAGAAAGTTTACATTTTTTAGTTCAATTATAGGTCAGGAGCACGTTTCAACTGTGTTGTACAGTGAGGCTGTCAGCAACACAGATCTTTATCTCAGAAACTGTTCTGACAGCCCAACTATTATTGGACAATTCTACATCATGTCACAGACACACTCAAGAAAAATGTTTTCAAAAGCTATTGGTGACCGATATTCTTCATAAAGACCAACAATTGTCTAATACAAATCTAGACAATTAGCCTTATTTAAATACAGTGTAAGTACAATTATTAAAGCCATACTAATGAATAGGTCCAATTTTATATTCTTCAAACTCTAAAGTAATACAAACAAACAAAGCATGTTATTTGCAATAGATACAAAAAAAACACAACAACACTTCCCCAAATCCTCACACACCCTATTAAATTTATAATGGTGTTGATATGACCAAACATTCATATGTCGTAAAGCATACAGATGTGCACCGTTTTGCAATTTTAATCTCCGTTTCTGATCTAAAACATCAACTGTCCTATCCAGCAGCCCAGCAGATAGTGAGAAACAGTTCTTGCCCTTTAAGCAAAGCAAACAGAACAGAAAAGCTCAGCCAAATCAGCAGGTGTCTGGACAAAACACTGCGTGCAACATTTGATGGGGAAGAGCCGAATAAGCAGGTCTTTGAAGTTGGAGCTTCAAATGGCTAAACTGACTTGTTGTGAACTCCAAAGGGCTCTGTGAAAAATATGCCATAAGGGCAGGTGAAAGTCTCACAATCTGTTCATGTTTGCGATAAACATAAATAAGCAAAGCAATAAATAACATTTCAAAATGCCAATAGCAGGTCTTCTCTTTGTTAGTGTGTAAGAATGTCATTCTTTTTGGTTTTGACTACACCACAGAATAGGAACATAAAGGAATTGCAGACTATATTATTAACCTTTTGGATTAGAGGGAGTAAGGATTAATTACGGGTAATAAGATCTCTATTATGTTTCCATGTACAGTACATGGAATTTTGAATACGCTTTCGGTCACAAAACATGAAGAAAGCACAGAAAGTTGAAGAAGTTCCACAATTAAACAAATCAGATAGATATGCACTAACACCACAATTACACCTTGGGACTGTATCAGCACCAAGAAAACTGCAGGTTTTGTATCAGTTTCTTGGAAACTACTATTTTAAAATGATATCAACCTAAATAGACACATGTAAGCCTTTATCTTGAATGTCTGCAGTAAGCAAAGGATGCACAAAGCTAAAGCTTAACCTTTGCCAGAGGTGGTATTGCAAGTAAATCATGTCAAACTGAATAAGATCAAAGAAATCAATTTAAACTTTGAAAAATTGTGTAATTGTTTTGGCTAAATGAAGTGCCCTAATTGTTATAAAGGAGTTAATAAAGTGCTATATGCTGTATACTGTAATAGGTTGGATCAATGCAATTATCTATAAATCACAAGTAATGGGTTTATTCCATGCTGAAAAGAGAAAAAGAAAACAACGTTTTGGCCATGGAGCCTTCCTCAGGTGTGAGCAACTAATCTATCAACCCTGTCCAGATAAGAATTTGCACCTACAATTTATGAGACTGGTGTACTACTCCAAAACTGAACTTGTGTTTTCTGTCTGCTGGAATCCTGATGCACCCTCTATATGGAGGACTGATCCACAGCAGACAGACTGGACAGCTCCGGAGAGCTGCTTTGTTAAATCATATTTTAAACGCCATTCACCGCAGGTTGTAGTCATGGATTTACTGTATGTAACTCCTAAAGATATCTCATCACAGAGGAAAAGGAGTGAGAGGGAATATAAAATCATTCCAATCTGACGAGAATAAGGAACAGTACCGTTTTTGTACTTAGAAATTCCAGCTGTTTTGTATTGTCTGTAGATTCAAGGTCAGCAAACAAAATGTGTTCATCTACATTCTGAGTAGATACTACTGTGCGGTAAGTAAATCTGAACGACTCATTATGGACCAATGCAAGTCAAGGCCACAGGGAAAGACTTAACCATAAAAAGGCCCATATGGCATTAGAGCAGCCCGTGCTTTGAGATAGCACGATAGAGGCCATCTAGTGAAGTTCTGGAAGACCCATTTGCAAAATGTACCAGTTTGCCATTAGTTCCCTGAAGAGCTGTCGAAATTCCTTGGCAACTCACATTTGGGCATATGATTCCAAGGAGAACATTCCCAGCAAACTGCAGAGAAAACAGCTCAGGGACAGTATAAAAATCAGGTCTAAGAACACTATAGTGCAAAAAATGCATTTTGTTTCTTTGATTACATTTATTTTTCAGCATTGCCCTATGTAAACCATAGCAGACCTGCTTGGTTTCAGCAAGACTAGGACAATGGAAAAACTAGAGATCCATGATAAACAAGCAGCACGCCTATGCTGTAGCTGCACTTAACACATGACATCTTTGAGAGAATACAAGGAGGTTCCTACAGAAACACACCACATGCAGCAAGCCAGTGATTTTACAGAGATCAGAGATAACTCCCAACACTTTGATGATCTGCAGACAAGGGATGATGTCTGAAACAGGATGAAGATCCTGAGAACTTGCTTATGACTATGAAGTTCAATTAAAAGAACAAAAGAAGGAGGGAGGGATTCTGTCTGGTCAAAATGAAACTAGAAGAAAACCAGAACAGATTTACATTAAGAAAATCAAGATAACAAAAAATGCAAACAGACAATTTATTGTTCAAAAAGACTCTAAAATTGGTCAATAATAGAAACTGCCTAGAGGTTGCTTTGTTAAATAAAAATAGAATTCTGCTCTGTCCGTGTTAAACTCTACAAAAAAAGACCCGTTAGAACTCAGATATACAGCTATCGTACACAGGAAACTGAGCAGAAACACAGAAGAGCTGTAATCCAGTGTAATCCCAGGTGCGAAAAAGCAGTCTGGAGGTACAACTACTGTACAGAACCAGGAGCAGCCCCATACTTAAATCACTCTAGTGACAGATACATTTATTTCATGTCTTACCTTTCTGATACATTCTTACAATTTCCTGCATTCGCAGAAACAATGGGTTATGCGCCCTGTGTGGTTTTCCTCACCGTCCATGCGCCTCTTCCAGGACAAAACTCACATTTCCATTCCCCCCAAAAATTACGAAAACATGTCCTCTTTGTCCGATTCAGGAGACACCGGCCTGGAGATTTCGAAAAGGTGCTGAGGCGAAGTGCGCGATTTCCGAGATTTGAGTATTCTGAGCATTTCGGCAAGCTGGCTTTCCAGGGCAGCCATCCGGCCGTTGAGGGCTTTGATGTCCTCTTTCAGTTCATGCTTCAGCTCCAAGATGGACGCCTGGATGGTGTGTTCGGGGATTGGATAAAAGGTATGTTTGACCTCGGCCTGGACAGGGCTCCTGTCCTGGGGGCTTCTGACTTCTCCGACGTTATCCAGACGCAGGTCACTTTTTGTGATGCCGCTGTCGCAGGAGTCGGTCTTCTTCAGAGACGTCTCCTCGTGAGATTTAGTTCTTTCTGGCAGAGTCTCCATGGATTCGGCCTTGGACACTTTGTTCCAGTTGTCTGCCTTTCCCACCGAGTCTTTGAACTTGTTCCAGCCCTTGCCTTTCGCGGTCTCCGCCGACTTGCTGCCCGCGTAGCTGGAGACCGCCGGGGCCTGCAGCTTCGCCCGGTCCGACGCGCCGGAGGTGGAGGCGCCGGCCGACACGGAGGGGACCGGGGTGGCGGGGCTCTCGGTCACCGTGACGATGCTGGTGGTGGCGACGACGTCCTGGGGCGACGGCTCCACGCAGATGGTGCCCTTCTCCACATCCAGCTCGTCCGGATCCTTGAACCTCTCGGCGGCCAGCCGGGCCTCCTTCTGCTGCCGGAACCTCTGGAACAGCCTGCGGACCGGGTGGTCCGGGGGGAGGTTCAGGGGGGCTTCATTCTTCCTCCTCAGCCGCTCCTCCTCCTCTCTTTTCACATCGCTGATCTTCCGGAACACAATCTATAGGGAACGATAAAGAAACACCATTTCGAAAAGTGTAGGAACGTCTGGTTAAAAAGCCATTGCAAACACAAACAACTGACAAACCACAGAAGAATTAGATAAGTCTCAAAGTGAGGCTCTTCCACATTGTTTGCAATTTGACATTTTTCTGTAAGTGTCCTGTAACAATGATTAAAATTAATGTGAAGTTCAACATGCTCTGTTCCTTCCAGGATGCCCAATGTAACATTCACATCCTTCAGCTAACACAACAATTTCATAACAACCCGTAAAATAATGTTCTTATCTGCTGCATTACTTGTCATGCATGTTGTCATGATACAATATTGATATAGATTTCCTAATACTTTCACACCTCCAATAACTGCACCTAAAATTGGGTAGATCTATAACAGAAATAATAATGTGACATAAGGTTGGGTAGAAAAAAAATCTGTTTTTTTAGGCTGGAGTGGAAAACATTTGAAAAATTAACCAAAAACACCAGAAATGAATGTTGACTGCACTGCTGAAAAATAAGGTACAGTAGCTCTAATTAAAAAAAAAAGTTAAAAGCTTCATAAGAATTGAAGACGGCAATACAAATGCTTGGATTTGTTACCGGGAACACAGAATTGAAATCACGTAAAACCAGGTTAAAACTGCACAGTGCCTTAGCTAGACCTCAGCTGGAACACTGTGATCAGTTTAAGTCTCCAGGCTATAAGGAACCTTGCTGCACCAGAGGCAGTGTAAAAAGGGAGCAGCCAGACCCATTTCTGGTCAGAAGGGAATGTCACACTTGCACTGACTCAAGGAACTGAATCTTTTTAGATTGGAGATACTGTGCATTCATCCAAAGACAGAAATCACTAGTAAAAGCGTTCACATCTTTTCAGACCAGTGTTAATATGAAGGTTGATGCCATACACATTATATACAGTAGGATTAGATTTGTCAAAGCTGTCTGTGATGCTGCCATCAATCCATTTGGCCAGACCTGAAAAGCCTTGAAAACAGAACTGCAGTATCAGCCATAATCAGACCTCTTGCTGAACCCATCAGACCAGAATGAGAGTAGATGGTAAATAACTTCATGTTCTTAGAGCTGAATAGAATTATCTGTGGATCTCTGAAGACAATTTAAGTGCTTTACTCAGCAATGCACATGTACCCATCCTCCACGATCGGCTTCTAAATATAGCTCAGCTGGTCGGTGTCTGCTGCCCTGTTTTTAGCCTCTTACCTCTTAAAATGCGCCATTGAAAGAAAACCACTTTAATCACAAACGTCGCATTAATTACTCTTGCGTCAAAGCCCCCTCTGCCTGTTACAGATCATCGTGGGGCTGTAGCACGGCAGGTGAATTAAAGAGAAAGACAAACTACGTGATCCTTCTGTCACCCCACAAGCACAGAAGTGATAATTATTGCAGTGGTGCATTTAAAATATATACATTTCCCCATGAAAGCTTTTTACTTTATTAACTCCCCCTCGCTGTATTAAGTGCAAGCTATTACAGACTATTAGTTTTTTTTACAATTAAAAGGGTGAAGTGATGTAAATTAATTTGAAATTAATTAAAGACCTGAAATATACCAACAAACAGTTGTTGCTGTTGTTGCTGCTATAATAAAAACTGAACAGAAACTCTTCTCCCTTGAGACTATGAGACAAGGAACTCTATATCGGAATACCAATGTCAATGTATATAGGAGGTATATAGTTCTTTTTTTAAAAAGTGACACACAAGGGCCTTGTCATAAGTCTCTTCTGAAATAGTAACAGATTCACATGGCCTGTCACAACTGCAACAGCAATTTACTTTTCAGTTGCCTTTTATATACTGCACCTTAGGGTCCCTTTATAGCTTTCCTACCCCTGTTGATTCATGTACATCCAGCAAGGCTGCTGCACACCAGTTATCCATCCTCATGTGGCATTACTTCAACCACAATTACTGTAGCAGCCAGGGCAAAATGAAGTCGACAGAATACCAACAGCTGAAATTAAGCAATTGCCAGTGTTAGTGACTTATTCACTTCACCCATCTAGCTAGTACACTTTATACGTACTTTCCAGTATATAAAAATACTTTTGAATAGGACGGTGCATTAATTGCTGCAATATTGCTGATCCAAAGCTGATCAAACACCTTCCCAGAAGGATGCCAATGAATTTATACCAACAGCACACCTAGTCCACTCTTCATGCAAAGAAACCATCCCTCCCTAAGTCCTCAATTAGCTTCATTTCCAATGGTGCCTTCAACTTCTGGACTCTAGGGCTGATCTTTAAGGTGCAAACTACAGTGGTGCAAACTCTTAGAAAAGGTTTAGAGTTGACTTTTCCCACTACCTGTACTTAGGCTTATAGCAGAAACCTACCATTTGCCATTCTGGATATTGATTGGCCACCTGTAGAATGTCTGCAGTCAGTGTTCTTTGCACTGTGACATTCACTTAAGACATTTTAGCAGCAGGTCAGTTCTTTTCCTGGCTTGACTTTATTTTTAGTAGAAGCCTGTTGATTCTGAATCTGAAGGGTTTATGCCCTCTCTTCCAAAAAACATACCCTTGAGAACACTTACAAAGGAGAAGAGGCGATTCAGCCCTTCCAGTTCTGTTTTTAGTTAGTAGGTAATGATCCCAGGATCTCTTCCGGCTGTGTCCTTAGAGAAACCAGGGTTTCGGCTTTAGCGTCATGGCTGGATAGCTTGCTCCCTCAACCCTTTGGGTGAAGAAGTGCTCAGTCTTACATGCACATCCACTCATGTCCTCAACTTCCACAACATGGCTGGGTAGCTTCTTCCATACTCCCAGTTGCATTCCTGGGATTTGTTTACTGCGTTGCGGCAGGAAGGGAAGGGCTATGGAGGTCACTAACAGTATTTCAGTAACACGCCCTGTCTCACCATCAACGAACCAGGCTCCCAGACCAAAAGACCGCTGGCTCAGCGCACTCCTGTCTGCCGTATGTCTGTTCCACTTGCCCTCAGAGAAGAAAAGCAGCAGTACCCCTGCCTCAGCTGTCAGTTAATGTTAGCTGGCATTCTGGGATTCATTCACTAAGACGATTATTTTTTGCAATGCACTGTTTTGGGGAAAAACGTTATGCAGACAACACAATGTAAATGTTTCAGAGAGTGCTCATCTCTAAAAATAATATGAGATCCTGCACTGGGAATAGAAAAGGATAGCAGACCCCCTTGTGGCATGGAACATCATTAATACTAAATAATTTGGGGTTTACAAACCCACATCCCTCTGAAAGCAATAATAGTATATTAGAAGATTTGGTCCAATTATGATACTTGCTGCTAATAAGAGTGTACTCTTTTACAATTTTTATTAGAGGTTGTGAATTTAATAGAATCCTAAATGCTGTATAAACCTCTCTATTTTAATCCTTTACACAAGGTAACCACACCTGATCAGACATGGAGATTATGTACTTCCTGTCTCTTTGCTAATTGTGTTAAAAGTGGGAGTTTTCAGTGGAGGGATTAGCTGAACAACAATGCTAATCGGCTCATATTCTACATTTGCAATTCGCAATGTTTTCAAATTTCATGGTGTTAGATGGGTACCAATTACAGGATGACGATAACAATACTGCCGTCTGAAAGTAGAAATAAGCTGTATATAGCCCTGGAAATAAAGCAAACAGATAGCAGTCTAAGTGCTACTATTTATCTAATTGATTAATTAATTTTTGCTTCTTACACACTTTGGAAACGTGTTCAAGGAAACGCGCTAAGATTTATATAGTACTGGACAACTCCTTGCATACTCATACACACCAAGCACAGACCACTACTGCTGTCTACTCCAAGGATGGCTGATGATTATCAGTGCAATGTCTCCTTGCATCACAGAAATGGTCCAACCTTTTTTCTGAGTGTATAAAACTAGCACACTGCCTTCCCAATCCCATACTCTCAGACCCAGTGCTTTGCGGCATCATCAATGGATAGGCATTCCAAGAAAAGATCGGCAAGGCGCTTGTATTCCTTGCGAAGGAAATGAGGCTAAGTTTTTCATTGGTTACAGTGTTTTCACATGAATGGTTTCTGTGGTATTTTTTTGCCAAATGTCTTCAAAACTGCACTGGGTAAAAGGTCCTTCACAGGCTAGGCCAGTTCTTCTCCTGGGAATGAAAGAATGCAAGATGGGCTGAATCTCTCACAGGTGAGCTTTCTGATGTCCTTAAGGAACATTATGGGAGCATATGGGATTTCCGAAGTAATGCAAGATAGACAGCAGGCCAAGAGAGTACTCCTTCTCCATAGCAAACAGTTCGAGAAGAGGTCTTCATACTGTCCCTCCCAGGGAAAGCAGGCCCAGGAAAAACCCAACATTTCTAACTGCAGGACGGGTCACATGCATCACATGCCTTTTCCTAATTACCAGGTTAACTTGGAGTTAGCAGTATTCTTTAGCAATGTGCCCACACATACTGTAGGAAGATATAAATAAAAACAGATTGTGTTAATATGCAAATGAAATTGCCATGACCATTCAACAGCTGTTTGTGGAGTTATGAGCCCATCAGTGTGGTTCGACAAGCACCATTTAGACATCTATAAAAACAAAATCTATTAGGAGAGAAATATCGGGTTCTGGTTGCTTGCCTTGCCTTTTAAAGCTGTGAAATTTAAAGCAGGGCAATTTAATCTGAACCTTTATCACAGTTCACAGGGATGTGTTTCTTTTAACCCTCAGTTTAGATACATACACACAGTACTAAATATACAAGTTTACACAGAATAGCTAAGAGTAATAGCATGAGAAAATAAAGAGGTTTAGGGAAACTCATTGTAAGTTATTAAGATCTATTAACTTCATGCATTAGGTAAAAATAAAACTCTTAAATTCTCTCAAGGTCTATTAAAATAGCATAGCAATGCATACTGACATTAGCTTTATTACAGATTTCAACAGGTTATTATAGCCTGTTGACCCTTCTACATGTTTTTAATCTTATAGTCAACAGATTATAAATGGATAAAACTTCCT